TTTGTTCTAAAAACACGGTGACGTAGAAAACCTTTTTTCTGATTTATACCAGTCAGTAATAATGTATAGTGATATGTTTTTTAGAATTAGCAATAAGCCAAATAAATTAATAAATCAAACAAATGGTTTTTATTTTTTATTACCATGGCAGGAGGATCCAGCTTCACCAAACTTTTAGCTTCAAAGTTTTATAAATGAACAAAGAAACTCATGGAAACCAAAGCGTACGGCTCATAAAAAGCTGCAGCCATGTTAGAAGCATGGTTAGGTTATAAATCTTATTTAAAGATGGAAAGAATATCACACAAATATTTATAGAAAGAAAAAAGCTAAAGATCAAAATATACTTAAAGGTAATGATCTAGGATTTGATAAGATATTTGAGAAAAAGGAATTAATCAAAGGAGAAGCACTCTTTTTAAGAAAAAAATCAGAGGTAAAACAAGGAAACAAAAACTAAGTGTTGATCACCTTCACTTAAAAAAGAGAAAAAAAAAACATTGCATTAGAAGACAATAGCATTAAGAGTTACAAATACTAACCGCAAAGGAATTCTGCAGATTTTGTTTTAGAAAATTATTATTTTCTTGCACGCTCTGCCAATAAAACACCAGGTAGCAATCAGGTGCCTTTAATACACAGAGAAGAAAAACATCCCTGTTTGGTAATAAACACAGTTTCTGGACTCTAAAGAGGGCAGAAGATGATTGACACTCAGCTTTGTTCTTTTCCTCCAGATCATAACATCAGTTTGCACTCATTTCCCTTGTTTACGCAGGGTATAAAGGTTAACCAGCCCAGGTAAAAAACAGAAAAAGAAAGATCCAGATTAACAGTTATGAGCACACTAAAAGCTCATAATACACACAGACTTCCCCACGTGGCAGATAGCCAGCAGGGAGGCGGTCAAGACTTAGGGAGGCAACATCAGCAGAAGGGTGTGTTTGATTCGTCTGTGGGGCTCTGTGTGTCTAAGAGAGGAGGGCAGAACACAGACCGGATGATAATATTAGGACCGTCTCTGTCTGCATGCTGGAAACTACCGAAGGGACCCAGAGAACCTGATGTGACGCCTCACCAATGAGATCAGATTTAAGAAAAAGTTAACTTGGATTTTTTTGGGGTCACAACCGTGGATTGGTCTATATTTTTGACTTGTAAACATGAAACAATCGTTTAAATCTTGATGTCACGGAAAATTCTTTATTTGAAACAATGTTGATTGGCTTTGTGTTTTTTTCTTCTTTTTGAACTAAAATGTTGTTTTTAACTGGACCATCCAGCGTAGAGCCGTCTGCCAGCATGGCTTCTGGCTCAGCGGACTCCAGCCAGCTAAGAGTGCTAATAGACGTGAAGCCTCGGGTCATGGGCTTGGTCCTTAGCGTCTCTGCTGCCCTTATTATTCCCACCAATCTGCTAGTTGCTGCTGCTCTGCTGAAGCTGCTCCTTAAGCGGGGATGTCAGAGCTGGTGTTTCGTCCTTAACTTGGCTCTGGCTGACACTCTGGTAGGTGTAGCCATCACTGGACTTGCTACAGAGGACTTCAGCAACAGTTTCAGTCACCACCACTATGCTCCCTTAGTGAGTTATAATTCCACGAACACAAGCCAACCTGCTCCCCCGGGTAAGACTCGATGTTTGCTGAGAATGGCCTTTCTGACATCTCCATGCGTGGCATCCATCTCGTCTATGTTCCTAATCTCACTGGACCGTTACATAGCCATCAAGCTGCCCCTGCATTACTCTCTGATGTCTGGAAGAGGGAAGACGGTTGGATTTTTATTGGCTCTGTGGATTGGCTCCTTCACAACCGGATTTTTACCAGGTGAGCCTCGGGAATCAGTTATTTAATAACTAAAAGATGCAAGAAGAGGGTTATTTGATGTTTTCCTTTTGCCCAATCAGTTATCTAATGTTTAGGGCAGGGGTAAGCAATGTCGGTCCTCCAATGCACTGTCCTGCAGCTTTGGCATGCATCCCTGCACCAACATACCTGAAACAAAAGGCCACGTTACCTCCTTAGCATGTCAGTAAAGGCTGGTTTATGCTCAGAAACCAGGTGGTCTGCGTGTGTCGCAGTGAACGCAGATATGCCCCGCCCCTTGCACAGACACTCTGCTGCACCTCTCCAAGATTGTAGGTGACCGCAGACAGTGCCGCAGACAGGAGGCCTCTGATTGGTCAGATCTACATCCGCTCTACATATTTCCTGTTTGGTTCCTTACCGGCTTGTTTTGTTTGTCTGACCGCCATGTTGGAAAACGACTGGTGAAGATGGAGCAGCAAGCAGAGCGAAGTGCGCAAGAACGCTGGGACCCTTTTTCCACCTGGATCCCCGCTCTTTTTGGCCCTCATGTCCCTCCGTTGTCGGACAAACTTGCCTCTTTCGTAGTTCCTGATTGTCCCTCTGGCGTTGTGGCATGGAATAACATAGCACAGACTACGCGTCAAAAATATCTACGACAAGCTCACTGGGACACACTGCTGGGGGAGGATAACCAGGCCTTAAGATTAGCTGAGGCTTGGTCATTAACTATTATTAACTATTCATTTGTTTTATGTGAGTTGAAGAACGGATGCATGCAAAAGCTGCAGGACAGTGGCACTCGAGGACCGACGTTTCTTACCCCTGGTCTAGGGTCTACTGATACTGTTATCAAGCCAACAACCAAAAAGAACTGCCGCCTTTGGTTTCCTTCTTCAGAGTCACTTGGATTGTTGCTAGAATATACTGAAGTACATTTCTAGTCAGTGTGTCTCTAGAAGCATTTAGAAAACCTAACTAGTTTATATTTACAGTGGGACAGAAACGGCTTTTTTTCTGGTATGTTGTCCCAAAAATGACTAAAGTTTGAGAATCCTTATTGTCCAAATTAAACCATTATAAAGTTTCTTTAGACATTCAGGATAGTCCTAGAATATTCTAACCCCCCATTAGAACGAGTTTAAGAAAGAATAATTTTTCAGTCTGCAGCAAACAGACCCAACTTGGATGTAATACCGTTCACGTTTTAAGGCAAACGTACCGTCTTCACTGAGCATGAAGAATGAACTTCCTTCTGCTGTAATCTACAGGGGACCAGAGTAGTTCATGTGTAGTTTACTTCAAAGAGATACCGGGTTTAAGGACAAATTCATCTACTAAATGGTAAACTGCTTTCCATATTTCAAGATACAAAAAAAATACAAATAAATTTATTCTGTTAAAATGATTTTTTTTTTATTATTATTCAATGAAATTCTATCAGAAAAGGGTTTCATGGTTTCAAAATGACGACATTATTTTTGGCTTATAATTAAAAGCAGAATATCTTGAAATGAATTTGCATTCAACCTCTTAAATACGATGTTTTTAGGAACCCCCTTCACTGCAAATACAACAATCGATTTTGATACAACAAGCTATTTTGAGTGTATATATCTTGTATTTTTTAAAACAAGCACACAGTTGTTGGAACATGGTCTTGATAAAAGCAGCAAAGCAATTTACTTTTACAAAGTGCTTGCTGATTTTGCATTGAAAAATGCTTCCTAATTGGACATTTTTTGACCATGCAGATCATGTTCTGATAACCAAACAACATTAATGCATTAGCTTTATGTTAAGGGTCCCTGTCCTGCTGGATGGTGAACTCACTATATATGGAAGCAGGACCTTGAAACTTTGCTGTATTATGCAGACTCCAGTTTATGCTTTAAAACACAAAGTGGAACCCTGCAAAATGTAAAAGGAAAACAGAACAGATTACAAAACACAAAAACTGGGGAAAAAATCCCTAAAGGGAAACATTATGTTTAAATTAAAAACAACTGTCTCAGTCTGGATGGGATAGGCTGCTGTTTAAATTAATCCAGCTGCATAATATGACTAATAGAGAAAAACATAGAGTTCATAAAAAATGTAGTAACATAATATTTACACCTTAAAGAACTGAAAGCTGCAAAAAAAAAAAAAAACTAATGTTGGGTGTAATAATGTTGTCCATGAAGAAAAGGTGATAACATCACATCAAAAAAGGGACTTAGCACAAATGTATGGTTTCCTCCTCTGGTTTTTATTAATATAAATAAATAAATAAAAAATTATGTACGAGTTTCTATTTGTAGCTGTGCCCTTTGGGATTAGAGATAATGCAAAGCCAGCCATGTCAGGGTTTGCTTGAGGTTTTAAGGACCCAAATGCAGAGGCGAGGAGGCAGAGGTGAGTTCTTGAAGATTTAATTAAAAAACTGAGGCAGAAAATCCAAAAACCAAGATAAAAAATACATGGAACCAAAAACCAGACAACTTGATGGGAAAAGTCCAGTAGGGAGCCAGGAAAAGACGAGGAACCAGCACTGAGGAGCTGCACAGGGGGAGTATATATGGGAGACTGAACAAAGACTGGACTGATTGAGCTGATTGGGAGCAGGTGTGAACAGAGGAGGCTAGAAGGGAGCTGGGAAAAAGGAGACCAACACAAGAGGGCAGCAGAGGGCAACCAAGAAAAAAACCCTAAGAACTAAAATATATACAGAAACACAACAGAATAGGAATTAAACCAATAAAACCAGAAAACATGGATCAAAGTAAAACTAAATACTCAAACTTAACAATTCTATTCAGTTTATTTCTATAGCTCCAATTCACAT